TCGTAGAACACTGGCCGGTCTATTTTACATTCGATATAAATTCGAGTTAGATTTAAATAGAACCAGCACATATAATTCTAGAATTTGAAGCCCTCATACTTCTAGATGTTGTGTCAGTCCTAAGTAGCGATAACAATAAGCAGCCGTTTTTTTTTAAAGCCAGCTGCAGATGTTCATGGACTGCGGTAGTCTCTTCCACCAAAGGAACTTTTACCAAGTTGTTATCACCGTAATGTTTCAAGAAATTCTTTATACGCCGTCGGAGTGTTAAAGACTCTTAGAGACTTTCTTCGACTTAAGATAACCATGTGATGAAATGGCATATTAGATTCTCTTACTACGATGCGAGTGTCAACAAGATGTTAGTTACATAGAAAAATACATTGTCATTAATTTCAGATTTTTTTTCACATTAATGAATTTTGTTTTTAGTGGTCTGGTGGTTATGTCCATTCAAGAGACTCTTCAATAAGATCACTCAGTAATTGCAGACCAGAAAATCAATAATCATTCGCACAAAATCTGGCAATGATGAGATTTTTGAGATACATTTTCTAGAAATGACATTTCCGAAAAAAAATTTTCCAAAATAATGTGCAACATCTTAGACTGTAATCAGTCATGTGTTCAGCGGTCATAATTTGACTTTTAAAAGTATAAATAGTTTCAGAGAACGTGGTTCCGGGATAAACTTCTTAGTAATGAAAATTAAGAAAACAAAATATTAAAAACCTCATACAATTCAATGAGTCGTGATTAAGAGTTGTTTTATATTTATTTATAAAAATCAAAGGGTAGAGGCACTACAGTCAAGTCTGACAACTTTACCAATAGATGTTAACTTTGCTATCAGGGGTGTACTGGTACAAAATTACTATCCACACGGAAAACGTAACGTTTTTCGAAATATGCCATTTTTTGTATGAAAATACAATAACTAATTGACAGCATTGCTTTCGATATGGCATGAGACTTAATTTTGACATCTTATTTTAACGCGTAATTTTGCCGGCGAAATAACCTCTTTGTTCAGTGCTCCATATCTTTTGTTGATTTTGTTTGAAATACTGAATGTAGGTATCTATATCTTTGTAATAACGTAATATTAATGGTTAGGAAATGTAACATATTATCTTTAACATGTTGGTCTTAACATTTATCTAAAAAACTAACTTGGCAATGTTACAATACTAGTGGTGCCACGATGTAACGGTTACTTTGCCATGTTCTGGAGCAACAACCAAGGGTTGTCACTTTCAACCTATTTTTTAACCGATTACAACTATTTAAACAAAGTGTTTTGTACTTACATTTTATGTGGATGTATGTTTGTATTGATGTTTCACCGTAGCAGCCCACTGGACCGATTTTACCAAATGAGTCATCTTTATCAATTTATCTTTATCAAAAGTGAAGGAAAAGAAAGGAGAAATCTATATTATTTCTACTGCGTTATAGGGCATTAATAATATTATTACTACTTAGTATTTTTCACAATTTCAACTTAGTGTATTGATATTAATTTGCACTCAAAACAGTATCATTTTTAATGACTATTATTGTTTTAATTAATAGAATCAGGCGTTACTTTGCGGAAATCCATTATATAAAAGCTTTTAGAAAAATTTACTTCGCAAATATCCGCGTTATAAAATAAAATGATGTGTCTTACCTAGTATGAAGAGCACCGCCCGCCCTCCCTCAATTGCGTGCACTATCCCCGTCACCACTAATCCTAGTACCGCTATTCCCAACACCACTACACTCAATGCGGCTGCGTCATCGGTCTGTATAAAAGGCACTTGTTTTGGCTCGCCGCTCACTTAGCGGTTAGCCACCGTAGAGTCTATATCACCCGAGGATGCCTCGTGTAGAGGCGAAACACGTGTCGTATTGTCGTCAGTGGTGTGTCTTGCCTAGTGTAGTGGTGTTGAGAGTAGCGGTGCTGGCATTAGTGGTGACGGGGATAGTGCACGCAATTGAGGGAGGGCGGGAGGTGCTCTTCATACTAGGTAAGACACATCATTTTATTTTATAACGCGGATATTTGCGAAGTAAATTTTTCTAAAAGCTTTTGTTATTGTTTTGTTGTTGTGGGAAAACAATATTTAGATTGATTACAATAATTATGACCTGAAATCATTTTACCACGGACCGTAATAAAATGATGACGATGATGACTAATAAAAAAACAAATACTTGTTAAAAATGATTGTGACAAGCTTTTCTTTTAATCTATACTATAATTAATTTAAGCTGCTATTAGACCAATTTGATTTTTAATTTTAGACGAGAGTATTTTTGTTTGATATATATATTAGATTTTTGCTAAAGAAATTATTGTGACAATATTTAAATAAAAAACTTAAGTTAAGTTAATCAAGGATTTTTGACAGCCCTGACACATATTTTCAAGTTTGTTTAAAATATTGAAAAATGGGAGGGCAAATTTCCTACAAGAGTAAACTTTGCTACTTACACAATTAAAGGAGCAAATCATAACTCTGAGTGTTGTATATTATATGATAAGGTAAACTTACCTTCAACCTTGAAGGGAAATTCTATTATTTTTATTATAAACCCTGATGGCAAAGTTGCTACAAAGTGAGGCTAACTTTGCCATTTTCAATTTTTTAATATTTTGCCTCTTTCATGTTAGTATTATATATAGTTTATGTTTAAATAACTAATACTCGTAAATACCAAATCTATGAAGAATATAATGTCACATTTAACATTGACGCCGAGTCTGACAATACATTTTTTGTTGGAAAATTGGTCCCCTTCCAAAAATGGCAAACTTGCCAGGTTTCACGGTACCCCGTATCGTCCCGTGAGTGTCGGAAGAGGCGACAGAGGTAAATAAACCAGGACATGGCTAGCAACGTCTGCTATTTACATCTACAAAATAAAATAAAACTGCTGTTACCAACCTGCCTGCCAAACATGACAAATATTCTCCCTATGAGGCAACTTTAGGAAAGCTAACTACTGTACTCAGCAGTGAACTTTTAATTAGCTGTAACCGCAATAGTAACGGTACCACTAGAATTGTTGATTTCAAGTTTAAATGCTGATTTATCACGTCTAGGTGAAATATTTCGAGGATATTACGTAAGTCCGCCAACACGCAATGTATGATTTGGATAGAACACACACACCACGTGTAGTTTTCGGAAAATGACATTATCTTTATTATTATTGTCTTCAAATAAGTCAAAATTAAAACTTTCATTCAATTTAGGCTTAAAGTTCTTGTGAACGTCAAAATCTACACCAGTTTGGAAAACAAGATCTTGTCAGAGAATACCGGTAAGAAGGTCCAGTACTTCTTACCTTCGATTTTTTTAATGTTATGTTATAGTTTTGTGTACAAATGACAAATGTATAATGTGTACTCATATATGAAATTCAATCACAAAGCAAAATCAAAATTTAAATCACTAACTTTTTTTACAATTTAGTATTACCCAATACAACGAAAAGTGCCACGTGGTGTTGTCGTAAGCCGTTACCATATTTCACCCCATGGACATCGTAAGAGGTGAATATGAAATATAGGTACAGGAAAGGTATGGGACCTCCGATGGATCGCGGTATCATCGTTTCGTTCACATAACGATAAATTGCGTATTTCACCAACTGGCAATGGAAAACAACGTCAACAGTGCAAGTCGTATGGTTGTGCTATCGTTAATTATTTTGTCAAGCCTAACGATTAGGTAGATTCTTACAATGTTGTAAACCCATACCTATCAGTGGACTTTTAGGAGGTGATGATTGTAAGAATTGTTATCATCAAAAGAATCCATATTTACAAATAATCTTTATAAAACGTAGCGTTTACATTTTTGTTACAAGGACCTTTATGCAATGAATTTTAAATTCATTGGACTGTTATTTATAAGGAGGCTCTTAAAAAACTTTTATGACTTGCTTTCAGTCGTTTGCCTAACAGAATAATTCCGTGGCTTTTATAAAGTAGACAGCGATAAGAAGGATTATAAAGGGAAGAGGGAGAGAAATAGATAAGGATATAATGGAGGGGCTATGAAAACTGACAAGAATGAGTAGAAATTTATCATGTCTATCATAATATTCCGCAGGCTAATGTGATATTAATTTAAGAATGTTATATAAATAAAACAAGGTGTATTTCATATTGCCATAATATAGTATATTAAATACATTTTAAAAATGGTCTTGAAAATTCGGAAAATAGAACACTTCAAACGCTTAAAATATTCAAATAACATAATAAATAGTTTTAAGATATGTAATATTCAACTTTATTAAAATACGGTTTTGTTTCATTTGCAAACGTTAGTTATCACTATCAAACAAACAATGATAATAAATGTAAAATATCAACATTAATTTGAAAATGTTATATTAAGTATATACAATAGAGAAACCGTAGTGTTTTTGAATCGTTGAATCACCTTAGTATATTTTTTCCTACAAGCATAATAACCAATTACAGAGTTAATGTATTGAAACTCGTATTTAATTTCTTCTTCTACAATTGTTTGGTATTTCAGTGTCATTACTTACAAACTCGATAGGAAGTTATTTATTTTACAGATTTCTATACAAATATGTGTACCTCATCCATGCCTAACGCATTACATAATCTTTTCTTTTGCCTTATGTAATTATAAGTTAGGAAAGTACTTCAATGGTTGGGAATAGTAATTCGAACGGAAAAGTTGAGAAACCACCAATTATAATTTGTTGGAATATTTTATAGCAGAGCACGCTTTTAAGCGATATATTTTGACGCTCTTTTATAGTTTACACACGTTTAATTACTTTTGCTTAAATATAGCATTACATGTATTTAGAAGGAAAAACCAAAAGACTCATATACATATATATCAGAATAAATTTCATAATTATTCGAAAGTGTAAGAATACATTTGCACAATCTGTAGAAGAACAAGACTTTTTAAACATTTCTTCGCCATTCTTTTCTCATTGCTCAGTACGAACTGATTTATTTAAGGGCAAACAACATGAGCAAGGTTATGTGGGGTACAGGGGCGTACTCCGTGTGTAGTGACGAGCATTCCTCGGGCGGGCGGAATGATGTCGCGTCCGCTAACTCGCAGACGATGCACGCAACCGACGAAACCAGGAATGTTCATCCCTGATAGCCTACAAAACAGGTTCATTTTACAACAAATATGACATATATTTTTGGGGAAAAAAATATTAGGAATGTATAAATTTAACTTCAAGTAAATATAACTTGGATAAATTATAATGTTAATTTAATTTTTTTTTAAATAATTAGAGCAACTGATTTTAGGTTTAGTCGCAGTTTATGCGAAAGTAAACTAGTAGAAAATGCTTTAGGCGCCTATAAAAAGCTTAAATAAATAATTATAGCTTATTAGTAGCTAGCGACCCGTCCCGGCTTCGCCTAGGCAGGATCTATTTTGTCAATTATTATTTCTTAAATCTCCAAGATTTCCAGATAAAATATAGCCTATATCACTCCTGGCATTGGTTTCTATCTCTTCATGTTCAGTTTTATTAAAATCGGTTAAGCCATTCCGAAGATTATCCCGGAAAGACAGACAGACAAATAATATATAAATGTTTATTCATGTCTTAACGGCAAGCAAATAACCCCTCAGTACAATATAATATATATATATATATATATATATATATATATATATATAATATGTATATATAAGGCAGTTATTTCAATATTACAGACATACACTTCAATTTTATTTATATGTATACATTTATAAAAAATTCGAATTAATAAATAAATCTTCTTACATTGTAACATTATCCGGTGCACGACCAATGTAAATATAAGGATCGATATCAAGTGAACTCATTGGCCCGTGTGTAGAACCTCTAGCAGCAGTTGAACCCAACTTTAATATTGCGTCTTTCTTGTATCTTCTCGCCGATACTTTAGACCTCCCATCAATTCTGACCTTCCCGGAACGCAATTCTAAAGGGCCGTTGCCTGCGTCCCAACGCAATACAGCCTTGTCTTCCATGAAACCGACCCATAAATAATCTCTCACACCTGAGGCGCTCATTAACGCTCCCTTGCCGCAAACAGCTGAGACCTCGGCCCATATATCGAAACTTTTAGCGGGCAACCTCGTGCGTGCTGTCATATGAGCCCGCCCGTCGAACAATGGCGCAATATACAAGTCCTTTTCTTTTCCATCATAATATTCTTCGTATAGCGGGTAATCATCCTCTACTTCGTTTGTTATATATTGCTCCTCTTCGAATTCATTGTAATATTTTGTATTATGATGTTTATTTGTCTTTTTTAAACATCTTTCGTCGTACTCGTCGTTTATGGATACATGTCTGTACGAATGATTTAACTTATCTGCGAATTAATCAGTAAATACTATAAAAATTGTTAACAACTATCGTAAAACTTTAAAGATCCTCTATAATATAGCTAAAATTTGTGCAACGATTAACTTTAACTAGCATTCGATTACTAGCGGTATCCAACTGGCGGTAGTACATCAATGCACGATAGCTCGGGCTCAGGACTATCAGGTTTACCGCTATCACTTGTGTCTACGGAAGCATCAGTAAACTGTAATGAGTTCGAACTCTGATAATTCGTATGTTTCACATCTTCTACTGTGCGAATGATATTGGAATTGGGTGACGGTGTGTGCGTAATATATTTTTGTGTGGGGTTTGAGCGGCTATCGGCAGAGCGACTACCTCGCCGTACGTGCGGTGCTGCGTCCCCACAAGGTCCAAATGCTTGCACCACGACGTCTGATTGCGTTCTACAAGCATGAGAACGCAGATGGCAAGATGATAAATAACTGCGGCCATCACTACCGCATACAGTTGGTCCTTCCGAAGCCGGACATTCCGGAGCTCTGCATTCGCAAGTCGCCAATCCGCTTCGTACCACACAGTATGCTCCAAAGTAACATGTCAACTGCTCGCAGGTCGTTGCCGGCAATTGCGTCGATTCAGCTAAAGTAAACGAGATGAAATCAGTATAAAATAAGGCATTTCACCAAATACGCAATGGTTAACTCGAGCAAAGTGAATATAAATCGAAAGATTATGTAAATACTTACGATCAAAGCAGCCATTAGGCCCTAGAGTGTGTTCATGGTTTGAGCAAACTGTACATTTTTGCCCCTGTATACCAGGTTTACAGACACAGCGGCCTGTCATCTGTTCGCAGTCCTCGCGAACAGAACCAAAAGCGGAGCATCCACATGCTAATGGAAATTAAAAACAAATTGTAACATGAAAGTTTCATACGTTTTTTTTGTAAGTAGTAATGTAATGTTGTTACAGTGAACAAGCGACTTTAACGTCTAATTGCATTATGTTACAACCTGTATATTTTACCTCGAATCAATTAATTATAAGAGTATCTGAGGTCATATTCAAATCTCTTATGACGAGGCTCTATAGCGAATACTACAGACCTACTTAAATAAAACTAGTTTTAGGGCTTTTATCGCCTATATTAACTTATTTTATATTCCCGACATTTCAAGTACTTTGCAGCATCCATGGTCATGGGGGGGACTAGTCCCCCCCCCCCCCCCCTGTGACCATAAGTGCTTTCTGTTTTTACCAATTCTTTCATTATTCTTCTTAATCAGCTTATATAAAGCCTCAACTGGGTATAAGCCTTTTCAAGATCAAAGGAATACAAAAATAGCCTATATTCAATACGCTAAGCAGGAGGATTATTGTACTCAGAATCTTAAATTAATAAATCTGTAATTATACAACTATTTATGATTTCCAGATTCTCGATCGTTTATTCACTCCAACTTACTTGGAGACGAACTTAATACATTTTGCGTACACCCCAATTGACTATTGGTGTGTAAGCAGGATGTATCAATTTTTTATTATAATTAAATTCTCATATTTTCCCAGTAGTTTTAGTATTATTTCCTTTTATATAAATGTGTATTTAATTCGAGTTTAAAGGGGACGTGTCCTACTGCAATAAGAGTTAGAAAAAGTAGAAGAATACGTGTATATCACCTATTACACATTAAAGTTAAACTAAAAATAAATCTCTAACATAATACTTTAGTTTTATAATAAAAATTGCTTATAATACTAACGTATGCAACCAGTGTGTACTGCACCAATACGCGGTAAGCCCCAGTACCCCGGTTCGCAGCGGTCGCACTTCTGCCCACCAACACCCGGTCGACACGCACATTGCCCACTCTCATCGCATTGTTCGGACACCGAGCCTAGGCGATGGCAACCACACTGAGAGGGACAGCCAGCCCCTCCCGGCCCTCTCGCCGCCGTCACGCCATCCGCACAACAACCGTGCCACGACTCCTGGCAGTCTTTTTTCTCAGCAATCGTTTTATCTGTAATAATTTATCGCGTTATGGTGGAAAATTTCGAACGACACCTTACAGCGAACAAACAGAAATTGTCAACTACGTAGAATGAATGCTAATGTTTAAAGTTACTCCAAATACGAAAGCACCTATAATCTTTAACTGCCTAAATATAATTAAGAATTGTATGTACCGAGACCGTGTGGTTATAGTACCTGACTATAACTACTACCTATATCCCGCGATCTATATTCGAGGCACAGCTGAAGTCAACATTTATACAAAACTACAAATTGTTTGTTTCCGGATCGGGCTGTATTGTGATTATGACAATCTCTTTTATTTTCTATCCTAGCTGAACCTTGCCCTTAATTTTGAAGCATAGTCGTTTCATCGGCCACAAGTAGGTTTGAACAAAAAGGTATCTATGCTAGCACTTAAATTTATGGCGCTATATCTTTTGCAGACTTCAAAGCTTACAACAATATTCAGAAAGAACAAAGAAAGAAAGAAAGCAAGAAATAAGTTTATTTGGCACATATTATTCAGTAATAGTTGCTGTGATTGAGTCATTAACTGCATGAGCTAATGTATATATAGGATGATTGCCCATATATACATTAGCTCATTATCTTTACAAGAACACATAACACAGTTCTGAGCTATTGGCATCCATTGATTCTGATATCTTACCCGGTCGTCACTCCGTCTAGTGAAAACTATGCTCGGAGTTTCTCTGTGTGCTCCATAATGATAATAACCACAGCAGACCAAGGGTAACTGACTTAGCCTTACGGATCGCTAAGATGAAGCGGCAACGGGCAAGCTATTTCCCGCGTGTATAGACGTCATATATGGTTCGTCCGCCCTCCGTCCGTCGAGTCAATGAGCAAGAAAGACTCTAGAATGGCAGCTCTAGAATAGATATAGAGTCATCCTAACACACACGATGATAACCGAAATATAACCGGACCCGAATAATACCACAAGTTTATGTTTGTTGCATAAATGCGGGTTTCGACCAGGGGTGGATCTCAGCGGTTTTATTTACCACTAAATAGATCATTATTGATTTATAGCGGTAATAAAGTTTGCGTAAATGTCGCGCAACTAAGGTACCAACTTTATGCATTACTTATTTGCGTCAATAACTACCTATTTTAAATACAAGGTTTTAAAACAAGGCTATCAAGAGCTTTAAACTGCACTCGTATTATTTAAATATGCAGTATGCAGTGAGTATGCGGTGTAGTATAAAGTGGACGTCAATTCCTAGGATCAGTATATTTTACGATGTAGAATGATTTCAGATAACTTTACCTTAAGCTATGAACAGATTATTCATTTAAATTAGATTTTTTTGAAACTAACTTTTTTGAAATTATTACATTATTTACATTGGATATTTTTAAATAAAGTCTACGAGAGTTTATCTTGTCCGTTGATAATTTTAAACTAGTATACGTTAAAAAGTAACAACAAAAGTAGTTAAATGCTTAAGATTGTTAAAATTACAGTTGAATTACAGTATTCATAAATCAAAATTAAAAAAGCACTTCTTTTCAGTCGAGTCTGAGTCGGAATTTTGTAGGTGTGAATTTAAATGTTAAGGAAATGAGTTATACTCTTAAATGTGTCAAGTTGAGTGCGGGAATTGTCCAGCAAAATGCAAGGCTGCGAGTGCTGACACGTAATTTATTGTTGTATAATATATTTAGTGCCGCATTTTTTCATCCTACGTTTTTGCAATGAAAATGCATCATGTTGTATTATTATTGCGAATATTTTGCCTCGGGGCGAAATCATGATTACAAGTTAAGCTTTTAATGGCTGCTTGCAGAAGATTTTAAGCGTTTTATGCAAAATGGGAAGCCATCCCATATTAACATTGATTCAATCGTGAGTGTTGATTGTTAATTATATTCAATTTATTGTTTTAAATGAATTTGGGCAGTCTTTTTACACAAAATTTTTTTTCGTAAAAGTGGTATTTTCTACATTAATTATTATCATCACTGCAACCATTCATGGTTCAGAGCTAATTTATTAAATTTCACAGTACGTGAATGACCCAGGTTCAATCCCACCAGCACCAATAAAATTTTCAATTGAAGTGAAGTGCTGATTTTTCACGTGCTCAGAAGTGAATGAATTAAAACATTGTGACAAAACCTGCATATTTGATGAATAAAATTATTTGAGGGCATGTGAAGGCCGCCAACAGTAAACACACTCAGCATCGCGGCGGGCTTCTTACTACATAGCTCTCTTAAAACTAGAAGAGGCCAGCAGTAGGACGTACATAGCCTCTAACTTTATGAACATTTTCGAGCTATAAAATATTATTGTTCACAGAGACATGAGCCTCGAGTTGTCGTAATAAATACTTATTACTTAGGCCTACCGCATATACTATATTTGTTAAATTAAACCAACTGATTAATCTTGTTGTGGACTTGTGACGATTTCATGACGTTTAAGTTGATGGTGGTATAATAAAATTACTGATTGGATAACGACTGGATGACTATGCAGTAAATATCGATCTACAAGTTTTATCTATCGGGCGATCGTTTTGCCGCACTCGCTTGATTATTGCAACTTCTATAATAAATGAAAAATACTCGCTGGTGCTTTGCTTCATATAATATATAATAAACAAAATAGTATTAGAAGATATGTCATTTCAACGGTACTAGTGCACAACTAAATGTTCGCAGCGTAGTAAGTCGAGCGTATGCCACAAATATATGATAATATATACACATATACATTAAAATAACAATCGATATTTGTTAAACCTAACGATCTATCAACTATCGAGTTGATAATACCTTCATATATGGGGTACACTGAAAGTTTTGCATAGTTCATAAATAAAAGAATTTATATGTAAACTAATAAATTTACTGCTTTTCAAAGTATTCTCATTTCATTACATTGTAAACATTTTTTCATTCGTTCAAACATAACATAAGGACCACTGGACTGAAGGCATGTTTTTCACGTGCGGGTTGAAAGCTATCACATATCAAATCTTTGATTTTGGGAAAATAAAGAAATCACATGACGCGAGGACTGGACATAGTGCGGGATATGTCACGAGCTCCACCTTTTGAAAATTTAATCATGACTGTCTTGTTCCCGGTGTGCACCGAAGTATTGTCATGGTGCAATAGTATGCGACTTCTTGTTCGCATTTCTCTAACTTTTTCAAAGACACTTTTTCAAAGACACAAACAAATGATTATGCACCATTCAGCATTAACTGTCTTTTGCTTATCAAGTGGGATCGTTCAGTCAGGACCCGTCTGGGAAGAAAACGCAATCATCTTTTGTCCTACGCTTCTTGCCTGCATCGATTTTGTAGGTTTGCTGTTGCCTTCGAATACCTATAGAGAATACTGTTGCTTTCTTTCCGGAATGTAACAATATATCCATGTTTTATCTCCTGGCACAATGTCATACACCAAATTTGAACGTCCGTATTAATCATATTTTACAAACATTTTTTTACACCAATCAACTCAACCCCGTTTTTGTTCTGGGGTGAGTTCATGAGGATAACTTATTAAAAACCATTTCATTTTTTTGAATTTAACACACACTGGTACCCAAATGTAATCGAATCCCTTCAGAGTTCATCCCAGTTTTCTTTAATTAGTCGCCTGGCAGTAGCCATATTTTTCACAGTGGTCGCAGTTGAAGGTCAACCTTCACGAATTTCATCTTGGAGGAAAACACGGCCACGATCAAATGCTGCGTACCAACCCTTTACAGTGCCCAAATGAAATACTTCCCTCCTTAAAGCCCTTTGAAGATGAGTAGTGTTCTAAACTCTTGTTCTTGCGAAGAGAGTGAACTTTTAATCGCCCTAAAAAGACTGCAGTAGCCACTTACCATCAGGTGTACTATAAGTATCATTTGTCACTTCAGTTTTGTGAAAAATAAATATAGTATAAAATACAATATAATAAGGACCTTTTTTGTGTAAAATTCCACACCAAAAAACCTTTACTAGTAACATTTTATATTATCTCATATATTTCATGGGATAGTCATCAAGAATCGTTTATTGTATCAGTTTTCCGAATTCACAGAAAAAAGACCTGCCTGTTTTTCGGATGAAATATAGACTGGATCAACTAGTATTGCTCTCTATCTGTTCATAAAGTTTCATCAGAATGATTCAACCATTCTAAAGATTAGTGTGGACCGACAGACAGACAGACAGACATACACACAAACACACCAGGGAGACAGACACTTAAACAGACAGAGAGACAGAGGCACAAACAGACAGAGACAGACATACACACAAACAGACAAAGACAGACAAACACACAAACAGACAGACACACAAACAGACAGCGGGACAGACACACAAACAGAAAGAGACAGACAATCACACAAACAGAAAGAGACAGACAGACACACAAACAGACAAAGACAGACAGACACACAAACAGTCATAGAGACAGACACAAACAGACAGAGGGGTTTTTCCATAGTTGCCACGCTTTACAAGTGGGTTGTCAACCGCAGTTTTTTATTATTATTTTGAATTGTTATCAGGAAGATTCTGCTGCCAATCTTCTGTTTAATTATCTCTCAGTCGCCTCTTACGAAACCCTCGAGACGATATGGGGTAGTGGATATTCTTACGCCGCCACTACACTGTTATCACTAATGATTGCAAATCGTTTTATATATAATAAGTGCATTATCTAAGACACTACACTGTAATAACTAACCCTAAAACTCCATAAACCTTTAAATATGAAGAAACTTGCACAACTGAAAAAAATAGGAGAAAGTATACCACTAGCTTCCACATCCAGCAAGTATTATACAGTGTAATTAAACGATATAAGATCACACTCACCGCAGTAACTGAATGCTGTCGACCGAAAAATACATCTTATTTTTCTAATCTAATAAATACTAATCACTTACTTGTACTTCGCGCAGGGAATGTGTCCTTCCTCCTTGTCACCAATCTATGAAATTAGGGTTTTCTGCCATCATGCAATTGCAGAATCTCGTTTAATTTTTATAATATTCTCCTCAATAATACTAGTTGTTTCTAAAGAATTTACAAGTTCAATACCTTTTCTACAACAGCGTGCCGCTTTAGCAGTGTGGTGGCAGTAGCTGCCTGCGGGACAGTCTTTACGGTGCGGCCCGCCGCCGCAGTCTAGAGCCCGGCCATCTGCATCGGTAAGTGGCTCGTCATCACCGCAAGGACGAAACTATCACACAACATCAACATAGTTAATAATCTATTTAAATCTGACCAAAATATTTAATGAAATTAATTGCGGATTTTCACGAAAATGCAGTGTTACTCCCGAAAATGAATTTATTCGATTTCGTTTTCGATTCGAACTCGCTTTTGTTTCGAACTCGACTTTAAAAGCTTAGGTACTAAATATATATGTTATTATTAAAGTAAGTTAATCAATTATAGTGCAGATTAACTTGATAAGTTAATAGTAGGTTAAGGTGCGGCCCAAGTGCAAAATAGTTTTTTAACTTACATTTTTGATCAAAAGCACTTTTAAACTTAAATTTTTTTTCTGAATGTGTATGCTGTTGGCCCTGCGGCCTTGACAGCTTCATCTAATTAGGCTCTTAAGTGAGTACTTATGAACTATTGAGTGCAACGATTCTGCCGTCGGCGAGGCACCCCGAACCCCTGCTTTCGGAGTGAGGCTCCTCGAGCTAGGGCGGGGGGAGGGGGGGGGGCTCGATGCGATTCAAGGGCAGGGTACCCCTCAGAAGGAGGTACGAACCTCGGCTTGAATCGCTATCGCAATTTTGTTAACGAGTCGCAAAAGTTAGAAACGCCCCGTATCACGGGTGTTAAACCTCGTGTACGGAGTGTGTCTGTGACGACGCATTCGCCGGCGAATGCGGTGTGCCCTAGTGTTCTGTACTAGAGTAGTGTCTGAGTGTGTGTGAGTGTTTATGGTTACTAAACTAGTTCCCTCTCCCGTGGAGGGGGAGGGGGGGGACGGGATCGACCTATTCATGGAAGTAATCTCGTCATCGGGATCAAGAAGAACGTTCTTGGGACGTCTCCTGTGGGAGGCAACATTCCTCAGTGGGGAGTACGAGCCCGCCTCATTTACCAACGGATTTTCGTGTATATATACGTGTGTATAGTGGGCATATCGAGGTCGCGGTGAAGATCCGCTTTCGTCACATAGAAGGGAGCTCCTGTGATCTGACGCAGGAATTTGTTTTGAACAACTTGAAGTTGTTTTAGACTCGTTTTGGAGGCGTGAGCAAAGGAGACACCCGTGTATGTCATAATAGGACGTACGCAGGATTTGTAGAGATGTAGTTTGTGTGTTAGGGACAGCTTACTGCGTTTGTTGGTTAAGGCGAAGAGACGATATACAACGAATTTTGCCTTGTTTCTAACTGTTGTAATGTGCTGATAGAAGCTCATTACACAATCTAAGGTCACCCCCAGGTATTTTACCTCTCGGACCCATGGTATTGGGCTGCCGTAGAGGGAGATCGTACCTATATTATTTTTTTTTTATAGGACAAGGGTGACACACGAGCACACAGTCCACCTGATGGTAAGTGGTTTCTGCAGCCCATAGACATCTACATACATCCTCTCTTACAAATCAAAATGTAGATGCGTTGTCACCCGTGAGGACTATGATGGAATGCCTTATTTCCAGTAAAAAGGGCCTCCGGCCACCTGCACTCACCAAGCGAAACGCAGAGGTAAACCTCTACTTCACGCTGGTTTTCTGTGAGGTCGTGGTACCACCCCGGTTCGAGCCGGCCCATCCGTGCGACAGCAAAAGCTGCCGCGTGGCTCTACCACTGTACAAAACCTAAAATATTTTTTAACCTGTGCCAATAAGGTGTTACAAAAACACCTTCTGTTGAAAAAGATGGCTGTGCTCTTATCGGGGTTCAGTTCGATTCTCCATTTTCTGCACCAATCGCCTAGTGCGTTTGCTGCAGCTTGGAGTCGACTGCAGATTATAATAGGGTGGGTGTCTGAAGAATAGATGGTAGTATCATCCGCATATAGTGCGAGATGAGTACCTGTTAACGAAGGGATGTCACTTGTGTAAAGTGAGTATAGGGTCGGGGAGAGCACATAGTCCGTTGTTCCCGAATTTGTCGAAGGCCTTGGCCACATCGAAGAACAGTGCTCCTGTATAAACAGGGCGCCTGTTCGCCTTTGCGACCTGATCTAAAATGTGCTCCGTGAGACGGTGCACCTGTTGAACACTAGAGTGTTTGGCTCGTAAGCCAAACTGCTCGTTAGGAATTAGATTCTTACTTAGCACTGCATCCTTCAGACGGCTGAGGATGATGCGCTCATAGATTTTCCTCATGGCACTGAGGAGACTGATGGGCCTATATCTAGATGCTCTATCTCTAGGTTTGTTCGGTTTGTGAATACCGATTACTTCTGCTTCTTTACATACTTCTGGAAAGGTGCAGGTGGACAACATTGAAAATAGCCACTAGAAGGCAGATCAACTTTGGAGGAAGGGCTTTAAAGACTTTGTTATTAATACCGTCAGTGCCTGGCGCTTTTTGAGGTTTGAGATTTTTGATGATGGTTTTCACCTCATCAAAAGTAACGGGAGGGAGTGTATCATCCGTTGGTGGTGTGGCGGATAGATTAGCCGCTTCCTCGTCCAGCTTGTTCAGGTGAACGGGGTTGATTGGCAGGGTGCTTGGAGAGCATTGGTTCTCGATGCTATCCGCCATGCACTCGGCTAACTAACCATCAGATCTAACTAATGGGGGCATCGAAGCGACATTTTCTGATTTAAGAGCTCTCGCCAGCTTCCAGAAGGCTGTATGCGAGGGCGAGATATCTTCTATCAGATTGTCCCATCGTGACTCCCTTAGCTGGGCCATGCACTCCTTGACCTCTCTACAGAAGCGGCGCAAATTGACGGTTCTATAACGATCATAGGCCCTCACCACAGCGTTTTTCTCCCTCAGTAATCGCCGTACATCCCCGGGGAGCGACGATCGCTCAACGCCTTGAGCCGCCTCGAAGATTCCTCGGTAACCACCTTTATATGAGAGGTGATATGAGAGATGGCTTCTAAGGCCACCTCTTTAGTATCTATAGCGTCTAGCACTAGATCTAAATATTCTGTGTTCATAGTTTCGAGGTTAGCCTCGAACCTATGCCAGTCCGTAACAGTTTTGGTTGTAAGAACCTCATTGCTGGACTGTCCTAGCGACATTAGGACCGGGCGGTGGTCTGATGTTAACTCATGCACCACTTCTATGGAGCGTAACGTTAAGGTTACGTTCCTGCGTAGTGCTAAGTCGATTTTAGACGGAATTTGAGTCATATTCGTTAAAAATGTCCTCCGGAGGAGCTATTATATTGAACTCTAGGCTATCAATAAGAGCTAATAAGTCACGGCCATTGAGATTGTTCTTAACGTTTCTATTATTAGTCCAGACTTGATGCTTAGTATTTAAATCGCCTGCTAATATAACCGAATTACTAAGGTTAAATAGAGCTTCAAAATTGCTTTTTATTATCTTTTTATTAGGTGAAAGATATACAGAGGCTACCGTGATCGGTTGATGACCGGTCATGGCTACTCTGCAAACGGAGGCCTCTAGATCAGTTAATTGAGGCGTGTCAATGGGAACTACATGTAGGGACGACCTATAATAAATAAGGGTCCCTCCGAACCTATTCCCTATGCGATCGTTCCTTATTAGTCTATAATTGGCTATTTTTGGGTCTCTAAGGCTAGGCTTAAGAAAAGTCTCTTGCACTAGCAATATGTCAATCTGATGATCAGTGAGGAAGGTCCGGACTTCGTCAATTTGATCTTTAAGGCCGTGCGCATTAAAGAAGGCAACAGCTATCGACCCAGGTTTTATTCTAGCTGTAGTTGTATTATCCTTTTAGAAAGAATAAAACCGAGCCAAGTTAACAGTAAGCAAGAACTTCGGGCCTAATTGGCCCTGAAGTTTTTTATTGCGTCTTTATTACCTCCATGTGTTCCAGGGAGGCCTGGAGGCGCTCTTTAGCAGAGCGCGCCGTCCTAATTTTATGCGCTAAAGTGCGCAACTCGTTGACGTCAAACCTGTCTACGAAGTCGCAGACAAGGTTAAAATCCTCAGCTAAATCCTCCAAGGCCGGGGAGTGGGTCGACTTGGTAACCGATTTTGGTGGAGGCTCCTTTCGCGGGGCACGGGCGACTGAAGGTGCCGGTGCGCACGCGGGAGTGGGAGCGGGGAGAAGGGTGGGCACACTCTTTAGTGCTCCACTGGCCAGGCTCAGCGGCTTAGCCCAAGCACTTTGCTTGTTGGCCGGAGCCGGAACGAAAGCAGGGGGAGAGGTACCATTCTTTTTTGGAGGGCCCTGTGCTCCCTTCTGCTTAGGGGGCTGCTTGCGACCCCCAGCGTTTCTTCCCCTCGGCTTTTGTGCTTTGAGAGCTTTTGGGCAACTGCGGAAATTCGCATTGTGCCCTACCGCCCCGCATAACACACAGCTCGAGGGGGTCGAAGCGCCACGGGTGCACTCCTTTGTGCCGCGGTCCCCTGTGCACTTTACGCACCTGGGACGGGCGAAGCAGTTGCGGGCCGAGTGCCCATAGAGTTGGCATCTATGGCACTGTCCAGGCACCTTTTTCTTGTGCGGGGGTTTTATAATGACCCCCGAGAGATGGCACACTGTGCGTATATCGAAGATTTTCTTGCCCTCTTCTGAGAGGTCAAGAATAACCAACACCAGGTTGTACGGGGTGTTGATGGATTTGTTGACCATGCGGTGCACCTCTTGCACCGGCAGGCCTTGCCTCAACAGATCCTCCTTCACGAAGGCTGTTTCAAATTCTTTGGGAATTCCACGAATTACAACGTGGAGACTCTTTTCCTCCTCCAAGGAGTATGTGTGATAGGGGATGTTCTTTCCCCTTAGGAGGCTCGTGAGAGCACGGAAATGATCGACCGTATTGGCCGAGACGATGATGCCCTGACCGTAGGGCTTGGCTTTTGAGTAGCCAATCTTCTTTTCGGCCATGACGCGGGATATACGATCCCACTTGTCCATGTCCTGAATGATAACCGGTGGCGGGCTTTTAGGACCTCTTGGTCCCGAAGCTGCCTTAGCCGGTACCCCTTTATTGAAAGAGGATTGAACCCCCTGAGGGGGGTGGGGCGCAACGGAGGGGGAGGCCGAGGCGACTTTCTTCGCCGGCCTGGAGGAGTCCGCCTTTTTCACGGACCGACGTCTTTTTATACCTTCGACGAGGGTGAAACCCTCGTCTCCGGACGATGATGCTGCACCCTCGGGGCGCCACTCTCCACTTCGGTGTCCTCTCCCGAGGAGGCCGCCGAGTCGAATGAGCCCTCACTCGCGGCCCTAGAGGGTGCGTGGGAGGAAGCCCGAGAGTGAGGCTGGGAAGGTGTCGGAGAAGGGGAGGGGGCAGGGGACCTCGCCACTATGCGCGCGTCGCTTCCGGTGCGGCGGGCCGGCTTGGTCACCTTGGACCCCTCTTCCACTGGCGTCATCGCGCCGGAGTGCTCCATGTCGGAGTCTTCACGGGCCGGTGATGGTTCCGGCGAGAGTGGGGTGAGCATAAGCTCACCCGGGTTTATGTCGGGGAAACGCTCTGCTAAAAAGCGGAGCATTTTCCTTTGAACATCCAGAAGGTTGGACATCCTAGCACATCCGGACTGTTTAAAACACTAACCAATAATTTAAACTTAAATAAAACTGCCCAAGTGCTTTATAGCACCTAGGGTTTCTGAGCAAAACCGCAGACGGACGGACGGACATGAGGAACGAAACTATAAGGGTTTCTTGTTGTGTAACTACGGAACCCGACAAAACAGTGCGACGGTAAAAGACAACAATCATTCATAAAATATTGTAATTAAAGTTATAAATTTGTAATACAACCAGCTCTCTGTCTTCCGCGATTTAACGGTGCCGGTGCAGGTAACTAGATAAAGTGCAGAAATTTGCTACTTTAAGTAAAATTTCGCACATTAACGGATAGCACCCGATAATCTGCAGATTATCTAGCTAAGGCGCACATTAACGAGCTTACTGCTAAACCAACTCGAATCAATGAGTAAGATCGAATTACATCAGTGCCGTTAAACACATCTAACTGATATCATAGTAAAATTCTTAATGCGTATTTGATTTAATTTAATAACCAACCAAGTGCGAGTCGGACTATTGGTATATGTGTAGGTAGATTAATCATCATAAAAATTATAAGGATAAGAAGGTTCTTTTAGTAAAGTAATATTATTCATTCATTAAAGCCTATCGAAAGTACCTATCGTTGGTACTGAATATACCCGTCCCCCATAGATTTAGATCCTAGCCGTATATAAAGGATAGTGAGCGATATTGTCAAACGGTACCATTATTACTTTACTTATTACATTTATTATTATTTTGTTAGAAAACATTGGCGATTGTCCATATACCATTTTTACTGGAAAAGAGAAGAGGCATTTCATCTTAGTCCTCACGGGTGACAACGCATCTGTATTTTGATTCGCAAACGAGGATAGATGTAGATTTCTATGGGCCATAGCAACCACTTACCATCAGGTGGACTGTGTGCTCGTTTGACACCCTATCCTATAAAAATATATATATACTTTCTTAACTCATGCTCATGCGATATCTAACCGTTATCGGCAATCGATGCATTTCTGTATCACATAGGAGGGATTAATTTAGTAATACGGTTTTTTACGCAAAACTTTCTGAAGTCTAAAGTTCTGAAGCGATATTTACCTGTTTATTGCCTGGTATAATATATGTATATTGCCTATATGGTATAAGTATTTTGTAATTTGTAATATAAAAAGAATGCTATGGGCGAGGGAAGGGTTGCCAAGATTATTGGAAGAATTATAGTATTTTAAGAAACAATTGTGTTAAAATAAATAGTACAATACATGAAAATATAGTATTCTACGAAACTAAGAAAAAAATGTTGCAGCTATTCATGTTTTTTTGCATATTTATATGCATTTTCATAGTTCATTTCATATATTATATTTCCATAATAACTTATAGCCCACCTACTGAAAATATAGTACAATACTGGATATTATATTATATAGTACGGTTCGCAACTCTAGGTGAGAGTAACCTTCCTTCCAATAAGGGTTTTAACATACAAACCTCCAAACCCTTGCACAAAGCTAGCGGACGAAGTCTTAAATCCTCCTGTCTCCGGCAAGCCTCCAACTTCATATGGCACAAAGTCGGATACAATCTCAGATCGGACGCACAAACGGGCGACGAAGTGACCGCAGCAGCGGCGGCGGCTGCGCAGTCGAACAGGCACGCGCACTTCGGTTGTCCGTTAGCGTCAACCGCGCAAGTCGCTTCGAACGCGCACTGCACACGTGCGCACACTGCGCTACTGGCCCCCGCTCCCGCCTCGCTGGAACTCTCCGCATTTTCATCGCCTATTCGGATATCATTGCCCAGCTCACCACTTTTCGTTGTTTTGTTTGCCCCTACAATATTAATGAACAGCGAAATATGTTACGAATTTATGTAATTTATGGATTATGGAAAACAATCAAGTGCAAGTACAGAGTGAATGATCTTCGAGAATGTTTTTGTATTATAATATTTAATATCTGTACGCAAAATAAAGTACTGTCGATGCGTTATTTCTTTGCTTGTTTGCTTGTGTGCGTGCGTTACGAGGCGCTTGTGTGCATTTAGCCTTTCTCATAAGTCTATAGAAGAAACTTAGCTTAACCATTTGGTTTCATTCAAACTACGTAAGTGAATTGAAATTAGTTATCAGATACAAATTTGTAGTTTTGGTTCATTCAGTTATAACAGCTAATCAAAAACTCGTTGCTAAACCCCATAGTTTGACTCATAGGGGGAATATTTGCCATAGTTGCCATGTTGGGCAGGAGGGTTGGCCACAGCAGTATTTTATAGGATCCTGATGCCACCTTCTATTCCACATCCTTCTCTCGCCTATTAAGACACCCGCGGAATGATATGGGGTAGTGAATTCTCTTTCAAAATCACTACTCGGAGAAAACTAATTCAATTTTTTTTTTACAATAACATTAAAACATCAATCAGAATTTTGCATTTCACATTATTTATCATTCACATCTCCTTCAACAATGTCTTTAGTTACAGGCGCTTTGTTTACTATTGTCATCCTAGATTCCTTTTTTTAGCATTTTTGCCTAACAGTTTTTTGATGTCTTTCCTCTCGCTTTCCCGCAATCTGTGGAAGTGATTTCGAGAAAAGGGACGGAAGTGTGTAACAGGAAGAGACCAATAAGCGCGCGCGGTGGTAGTAAAGTGTGCTGTTATATAAACTTTATATGTGACTAAACTATATATATTAAACTATATTAATAAATGTATTTTCTGTTGATAATATGTGTCTGAAAAAAGTGCAGATTGTTGATAAAAAATGCAAGTGAGTAAAAATGAATAAGTATTCGAATAAATATTTCAGTATTTAGCTTTTATACATTTTCAGGTTAATTTCTGTAGCTGCCCAATTGATATTTTTAATTTTGATTAAAAAAAATATTTTTTTCAGGATATAATGTTAATGTTGCTTATTACCAAGGCGAGATGTCAGATGTTACACATTGTATGCGACTACTGTAAGGCTCGCTTAAATAATTGTACCTGAATCAGCGTTGGCAGGAGTCTCGTCGCACTCGCCGTGGTGCGCGAGACGCGGGGGGAGGTCGCCACGCGCGCGCGCCTCGCATGCGGCATTGTGCAGTGCGCACTCGTGCGCGTACGTGCGCCGCGTGTCCGCGCACACGGGCGCGCGGTCCGCGCCCGCACACGACCGACTGCACGTGCACACGCCGCGTGCGCAGTACGTGCCGCTTGGACACTGCACCTCCGTGCACGTCTCTGACAGACATTCATGTCGTTATAAGTGTTAATTACAGGATAATTTATCCTGTATCATAAAAGCATTTTACATACATAAATTACACATAAATAAACATCCTAAACTGGAAGAATTATCAGCATACCATGCTAATACTTATATTTCGTTCGAAATTCAAACACGAGGCCCGAGCTCCGCAGCCAAGCTACAACCATGTAAGCATAGATTAATGGTAAGTCATCGCGCGCTCTGCGATGACTTATCATTAATCTATGCATGTAAGCTTAAAAAATGTAAGATAATTATTATTATTTTATGCGCAAACTGAAAGCTTTTTAATTTTTTGAAAATAGAATTCTATGACTGTTTGCTCGCAGTGCCAAGGCCAAACTTAGCCACTGCCATCGAACTGTTTTATTTAATAACAGACCTAATCAATCGAAGCAATTCGTAAAACCCCAATGAACTTTTTCAGACAAATTCCCTAATTATATAAGTTTAATCTGAAGTCCTCACACTGCACTCTTGAAAAGTGTGAATGTGTCTGAAAAGTTTTACTGCCTTTTAAAAATAACAACTCCTTATTTACTAAAACGGTGTACATGCGTTGACAGTATTAGAGATTGCATTACCCCAATTTATCCTATTTATATCGTAAAAATATCTCATGGCATCTTTTTCTATACTTTCTATACTTTTATTCGTTTAAAAATAGCTACCCCCACACTAGGATTTTCTCCTGTGTTGTGGAGGCAGTTTACAAACATAAATTGCACCTGGACAAACATCCAGACCTGGAACAATTATTTGTAGGCCATACAAATACTTGTTCCGTGCGGGATTCGAACCCGCGGCCCCCAGCGCAACAACTCATTGCTAAGCCTTTCATATATTACAGACAAAAATACTTAAAGTTGTGACGGCATCCTCCAAGTTACGAGAGGCTTGCTTCTACATTGCAACTAAAAACTATTTCTAATTGCTTGCAACTCCAAATTACATTCCAAGTGTGGCAATTCGCAAAAACCCCATTGTAATAGAAGAAACAAACATTCAGTAGTTAACTGCTACGGACTGACAAAGATACCTGTACACTTACCACACGAACCCATATGTTTAACGTGAAGATGCCTCTTCTCACGACAAGCGACATCGCGTAGCGCACAAACGCTGCTGTACGTTTGATTGTCGTTGCCGCAAACTTCTTCCGATTCCTTTTAATATAAAGTTTATGTAAAAAAAGAAAAAAAAATGTTAATATATGTTCTTAGCCTGTGCCAACTGTGCTACTTGCCTAACATGTCGTAAAAGGGGACTAATGGGATATTGTGTTAGTGATTGTGTAGGCGATGGGCAAGGCACAATGTACGGAGTCTGAGAAGAGCAGCTAGCCATGGTCTTTGAATTCTGCCTACTCGTACTCCCTCGGCGACTACAGGCGTGACTATTACTGTTATAAGTATATACTTTTTACTGTTATAATCATTTTACTATTAGGTATTTATAAACAATGGCCGTGTGACGCCATTAAGTGTTAAGTCTATCCCTTCAAAGAAGTCAATTTTTTTTAAAACGCTTCAAATGTCAATATGTTAGTGTTAAAGAAAACCGTGAGCTTACGCAACTCAACAACAACTTTATGATCATCGGTGATTTGGTGGCAAAAAATTGGTGAAAAAAATATGTAACTGAATCAGTAAAATACAATTTGATATATAATTTCATTAATTTACCGTTGTAAAAACATTAGGCATATTTTAAGAATTAATAATAATAATATTTTTTTATTTCAAGAAACTGAAAATTAATTTAAACAATGTCTTAATTTAAAATAGTCTACAATAACAGGTACCTCAACTAGGATAAACTTTGTGCTAATAGATACATTAACAAATATTTTCTGTTTGAACAACAAAATGAACAACACACTAAATAATTAGGGTTAATTTTGGTAATGTACTTATGATATTAATTAACTTAAAATAATTGGCCTTTTCCGTATCATCGTATGACAAATTTTGTAACTATGTTCGAATTACATTTTTACAGTCTGCCATTTATTATTGCCATTAATAGATATATGTACAAAATTGCATTGACTTGATTATACAGAAAAGGGCCTTATTCCAATGTTAGTTTCAATTACTTTATCTTTGCGTATTTTATCAGTGACCGCTCTTCTGTAGGATGATTTTAAGTGCTGTTTTAGTAACGTACTCGTAACGAATAACTGGGGCACTGAGAGAACATTATAGGATTTATATAAGATATGGACGGGAATAGGATAGAGCGGAATGTTGCAACTCTCAATAGAGTTCTTTGAGCGCGTTCCAGTGGTAGTAGTGTTTTTGCTCTTCCCCTTGAGGTTATACGATAGGTGAGAATTGATTGACATAATGTGAAATGCACTTTCTTTACTACATTAATATCAGCAAAAGAACGAATATATTTAAAAACAAACATTAGTTTACGAACTCTATTGCACAGGTGGTCTATCTGCTTTTTAAATCTATAATTATTCCAAGGTATTTAACAGTTTTTGTATTAAAAATAACTGGGCAGTTACATTTAGACTCTGTAGCTGAGCAACATTGATGTTCATAAATTTCTAGAATAGTTATATGCTGGGTTGAATTGCGCATAGATAAATGAATATATTTAATTTTGTCCGTATTCAGTGTTAATATATTTTGTTGGAACCATTTATTAACCCTACCATAACCTTGCTGTGCAGATAAATAAACTTTGGCTACTGTATTTGCGATGAAAAAGGAGCACGGTATCATCTGCGTAAGATATTATTTTACGTGAGTTAAGTTCGAGATTGCAAAGGTCATTGATATATATATCAAAATAGGATTGTCCTTGATACACTTCCTTGTGGATAGCCAAAATGAGTATTTTTTTATTTATAGCTAAACCTTTTCGATTTTTATGCATTGATATCGATTTTCTAAAATAATCTTTTTATTATCTCTACAAGACTCATCCAGTAAGTTTGTAAGATAATTATACTTCCACTTTTTTAATAAATTGTTACAAAACTTCCTATATATTTTATATTAAATTTGTAAAACGGAATTATCTGAAGCAGATTTTGCCATCAGGTATAGTTTTTCTCTATATTTCATGCGAAATTATATTTATAAAATTAAAAATATATTTATACCTTCAATCATTCGAATCGAATGCAAAAGAGTATGTCATTGCATAAGAGTAAGTATTAAAACGCGTGTCTTGAAATGTATAATAGAGAACTTATCCAGATCTAAATTATTATATCTTAGTTCAAATGTTTTTACAAGACCTAGCCAGTATTAGAAAACGGCAATAGGTAAGAAACATTATAATCATACATTTATCTCTGGTAGGTACCTACTGTATACAAAATTACTTTAAGACAATTAAAAACTGCCGAGTGAAGTACCAAAATTGACACTTTAATTACAGAAAAAACTTTACACACTAATAATAAAACACAATTGTACTACTAATCACTTTAGTTCGCAGTTATTTCGCTTCGAAGTATTCGCTTGTATCGCCAACTCAACACTGCCTCGGTCGCGGTCTATACAGGCCTTATATAGGGCCTCAGATAGTTTCCAGAACCTTCTACATGTAGAAACATCTAGAATGTTCGAGTACATATCGGTCCCGATCGACTAGGTGTCGATAGTTCCAGAAAGTTCTTCCATGGAAATTTCGAGAAGGTTCTTAACTCTCCTAGTTTTGCTACTCGATACTAGAGGGCGCTAGTGGTATTAATTGTGGCGCGCAACAGTATTATAGCGTCAATATATATATCATCAAATAAACCAGCTAAACAAGTGGTAAAATTAAAAAAAAATTGTACAACCGATTTCAATATAAATAAAATGAGAACACCATCAATGTAGCCGAAGTCAATTAAATACGTATTGTTAAGGATAACTCAAAAAGTTCAGGTCAGATCTTTAGCAAATATATATGAGAAAAATAGAATTCCTTACTGTGCCTTCTTCACAGTGCTTTGGACAAACGCAACTAGCTTCAGACACGCCGTCACTTTCACAAACAGCGTAATGTTCACATTTCTTGTTTTCACAGCCGTCTGAAACAAATAAATATACATTTTAATACAACAACAATGTAAACATAGTAAAAATAAACATCTGTAACATGGCTAAATAGATTCAACGTTTATTACAACAATCTATACAAATAAATAAAATTGAAGTGTCTATTTGTAATTTCAAAATTTTTAGCTACTACTTATAACAAAAACACAATTTTTAAATGTTTTGTCTGTCTGTTTGTCTGTCTGTCTGTCTGTTTGTTCCGGCTAATCTCCGAAACGGCTAGACCGATTTCGACGGGACTTTCACTGGCAGATAGCTGAAGTGATAAGGAGTAACTTAGGCTACTTATATTTTAGAAAAAGAACTACGGTTCCGCGCAATATAATTAAAACCCTAAATTACACCCGGGCGAAGTCGCGAGGAACAGCTATTTTTAAATAAAAATACATATTTTTATAAACACAACATGTATTAGCGTTTCTTAAATATTAACGTCAGACTTGTAATAAAAAAAGAAGTTGGCAGATAACATGATATTATTGACAGATTTATCGTTTTTTAACAGTAGCCGGAAACTTTTCATTGTTACTAAGCCAATGAAAATAAAATTTAGATGCAAATAAGACGACCTGCGACCTGATTATGAGGTCCCGAGTTCGAATTCCGGGTCGGGCCAAAATTAGTTATTGGCTTTTTCGGACAAAAAAATCTCAGTAGCAGTCTGGAGTCAGGAAGTTGGCGGTGTTAACTCCTAGCTATTGTCTCGCAAAGCACGTAAAGCTGTTGGTCCTGCGTCTGATTTCTCCCCGATCAGGTCGGACTATGAGAGCGAGGGAACAGAGAGTGCACCTGTGCTTGCGCATACACATAATGCTGTCTTGCATAGATGATTAGTCTCCGTTGTGACTAGCCGCCATGCCTGGAATTTTGGTCCGGAGGACATTATTACTAACTTACATTAATGGTTATAAGGAAAACTTACTGCAGGGTCCGTCGTAGAGCACGCGCACGTCTCGTCGGTGGCGGCAGGCCTCGAGTTGCAGCGTGCAGCGGTTCCCGTAGGAGATGCCGTCTGAGCCGCAGACGGGTGCGAACTCGCTGGAGCAGCGCGGGCAGCGACACACGCCGCGCGCGCCCGCCGCCACGCACTCGCCGCCGTGCGGGCACACGCGCCCCGCGCACACTCCACTCGAACCTGCACCACACCACATATCATAACCACAATAAAGTAATTACAGGTACGTGGTAAAGGCACGCTGCATTTGTATTATGTCTGAAGCGCGATCGGGAATGAATCAAAATCTCACAGAAAACCTGCGTAAAATAGTTGTGTTCCATACGATGAGTGTAGAGAACCAAAGACCTCTTCAACTGGAAGCGAGCTTTCCATCTTAGTCCTCAGGGGACACAATGTATCTGAATTTTTATTATTAATGTTAATAGATGTAGATGTGTACGGGCCACAGCATCCACTTATAATCAAGAGGATTGTGTGCTCGTTTATCACCCTTATTCTATAAGAGAAATAATTCCGTGGATGGTAAGGCACACTCACTTAGCTTAACAAAAGCCTATGCACTGCGGCATTGAAGATACCAACGTTGTAATTGGATTTAAATACAGATGTTGGCAAATGATTCGCACAGATAAAGTTGCCCCATCATCAGTTCGTACTGGTTTTATTTTTTATTAGGTACTGAGATTTTTGATGTCCGTCAATTAGCAGTGAGCAAATGAAGGTGATGTTGATTTTTGGGGAGAAAGGTTGCATATTCCTTCTTATAAACTTCAAAAAGGAAAAAAGAGAACTAAAAAGCCTTTTCACTGGGTTTTTCCATTTTAACATCACATCTAGAGCATTTTTAAGTCCAAATTTCGTCAAATCTCTACTTTGGGTGATTAATTGAGTCTTAGGCGAAATTAGCTGCTGGCAAACTGTAAGTGCTTGCGGTATTACTCCACTCGAAGACTGATTAGAAATTACGATTTTATTCCCCCATCTCCTTTTTATCATTGGCCAGTGAAACAAAATCCTTACATTGTGCACATACCTAGCATTCGAAAGAAACGTACAGTAAAGGATTGAACGTTGTCAGGCATAATACAATGTGTCTTTAAGAGAAGAGTTTTTTTAATAAAACTGAAGTGATAAATAGCAGTCTACCTGATGGTACGTGGCTACGGCAGTCGATGGACACCTGCAGCCGACTTAATACCAAAATGGCCCCCTCAAAACAGCGAATGCCTGCCTGTAATTATGCTCGCTCTATACCTTTCACACCGGAACAAAGTAGTGCAATTACTGTGGCAGAAATAAAGTTGGTGAAATAATTTGCTCAAATAATACGTTTTACCATTCAAGTTTTTATCACCACTTCATACCTCCGTTTTAATAATGCGTTGGCATATCGTAAAAATAGCTGGTGAAGAAGGAATCAGCATTGATATGGTCGTCATTACAAGTCTGTGATATTTGGGAGTGTTTTACAATGGATATTCAGTTGTGTTTAATAATCTCCCAGATAGATTGCTAATTGAAGATATTTACGTAAAGCTCGCATATATACGAGTATATACCCCAGCTAGCAGATATTCCACAGCTAGTCATGAACCTCTCCCATAGCATAGTGATCTACGCAGCATCTGGCATGTACTGTCTATAATATTGAATTCTTGTTGGTGGCATAACACGTAATTAGTGGTAAAAGTTGCAGCCTATTTACGTCCCACTGCTGGGCACAGGCCTCCTCTCATTTCAGAGAGGGTTTTAGGGCAAAGAAATGTCTTCTAAATATATTTTTTTTCTTATTTTTCAGACATGCAGACATTTTCTTGCCCTAAAACCCTCTCAGAAATGAGAGGACGCCTGTGCCCAGCAGTGGGATGTGAATAGGCTGCAACTTTACTTTTACTTTTAAAACATTAAACAAACAAAAAATATAGCGAAAGAATGATATAAATAAAGACAATGTTGATAAACGCATTGATAAAATTTAATCTCGAAGTGGAAGAAATAGGGATGAATTTATCCTATCAGACTAACTGACGGCCATGTGCTTCTTTATGAGTGGAAGGCAATTGCTGTAAGTCTAAGAAGCAGGGCGTCTGAGAACTGAATTAGAATGTTGAAACATTGTAACATATCTTGTCCATTTGAGTCATTATGTGTTACTTACCACAAGCACCCGCGTGCACCACCTTAATCTCCCGGCCTAGCAAACAGGCAGCACGGCGTAGCTCACACTCGCTGTGATGTGTGCGAGCATCCGAACCGCATACGGGACGCAACACGGGCTCGCAGGGCGGCGGACACGCGCACACCGCCCCGTTCTCCTCCACACGACACTCGGAACCGTGACGGCACTCCACTTCCGAACAAGGGTTCACTCCTATTGCGCAAGTGAGGTTAGTTAGGTTAACGATTGGAATAAAGGCTTAATACTCGTACGGACAATATCTGGCAATTTGCGACATCTTCGAAAATGCCTCCTCAACGCATTCTTGGTAATATGTGATTTTTATAAAGTTGAAAATCTCGTGAACATGATTTTTTATAATAACGTATGATTATTTCATTAACATAACATTATATTTGTTAGGTAAATGTTATATGGTACAGCCCGTAAGTGTAAAACTTTAATTTCAAAGCTATAATGCATTATGGTGTGAAGCGGAAGAATTTTCCTACTAAATAAATCATAAGCTACCGATGAAAATATGATATCGATACGATGATAGAAAGCTAAGATGAAATAGGGATATACCATCTTTATCTACCTAACTCTCGGTGCAGGCTGCCTATTGGCAAACAGCGCTCTGACGACGTAAAATCCGTCCGTATTAGACCGAACTCATTTGCATCGACTGGAGGAGGTATGCAGCATAACCAGAACGAAGGTAGCACCACTATGCTTATCAACCCAATTGCCCAGTATCTTGAGTTTTGCCAACCTTTTATAAAAACCCGTCAGTTTGCGCATAATTTAGAAGGTATACTCGGCAGTAGATTACTCAATAAAGAAAATTATATTAAACCTTACATACCAGAATTGCACTGTCCTTTAAAAATTATTCGCAGCTGTTTCCTAGCGCGACAAGATTCCCGATGCATTTGGCACTCGTTGGAGTAAGTCTTCCCGTCAGAAGCACACACTGGCGAAAACTCCAAAGGGCACGGTTCCGCGCAACGACAAGACGGCAATCGACGTTCGTCTAACTGGCAAACTTCGGGATCAGGACAAGTTACGCCTGCGCAAGGATCTGTAAAACGTATTATATTTGTTAAAATAATAAGGAGAACCTACAAGGATAGAACTTTACTATTTTAGGAAAAAGAGATTGAAGTTCTTTAAATTTATTATTATGTTTCAGTAATAAATTTATTATTATCATGGATTCGTTTTCTATACATATACTCGTAATAAAATCGTAAGTCGTTTTTTGACTATATTTCTGTAAGTTAGTACCCGCTTACTTTTTAAAATTGTATTAAGATGAGCTTGCGCTATTAATTTATATCATGTTAATGTAAACGTCTCATGCACTCTACGTGACACGTGCTTTGTCGAAAGAAAAAGCGCTGCTCATCTGCTTTATTCAGCGTTCACCGACCAAACAATTGGATATAGGTACCTACCTAAAAATAGTATATTATTGAAAATATTTGTTAAAATGTTTGTTTAATAGAAGATGATGTTAAGTATTGTCTGATCTCTCACTGAGAAGCAGGTGTGTTTTGCTCGACACACGACCAGTTCTACGTGGATAGGTCACGTGTTAGCAACTCAAAGAAATCTGTAATTCACGAAAGCTGAAAATCCAATATTGTTTATAGGGAAGCAATGCTGTAAGGAGTAACAACTAAAATAAGGTACTAAAAAGCGGAAAACTATTTTTTAAACGAATGCGGTCGCTTCTTTCGCCTGCCTCCCCATTTATGTAAATTTTGTTGAACTCACATTAGAATACGTCATTAATTATGAACCTGAATTTATAATTTACTTATGAAAACTGAATTTTATGCACGTTAAAAAACCTAAAGTTATAGCCTACTATACGTCCAACTGCTAGGCACAGGCCTTCCATATTTAAGAGGATTATGGAGCGATTTGTCTGCCGCGATACTTCTATTTTTTTATATATTATTTATGACTAATAAGAAGATGTAAGACCTAAAACACAGCAGATTTTCATTGTAGGTACATATTAGTAAGATTCGCAGGTACAAGTTAAGTTACATATATACAATTTTTTTAGTATGAAATCGAAGGGACAGCTAATTATACATAAATTGCATATGGACTAACTCCCAAACTCGAAAAAATCATTGGTGTGACACAAATATTTATTCCGTGTTGGAATCGAACCAGCGATCCCTAGCACAGTAACCAAACGCTTAGCTACAGCGGTGTCAAGATCTCATTAATACTAAATAATGAAGTGAAAGAATAAACTTACCGCATTTGCCGTAGTACATAAAAGTGATATTTGTGTTGGTTTCGCAAGCAGCTCGTCGCATCTCACATTCTCCAGGATAATCTCGGGCATCGCTGGCGCAAAGAGGCCGTGATCCCTCGTGATCACCGTAACTGGGGCACGATGTTGGACACTCGCAATGGTAAGATCGTCCATCAGACGTTGGGCGACATAGCTCGCCGGGTCCGCACGTTACTCCACGACATGGATCCGGAACGTCTGTCACAAGATGCACGTCATTTCATTACTGCAACAACAGACAAATCAGTTCTGTGATATGTGTTTAGAGCTCTAATTATTTGTTGAACCCACTTAAAACAGTAAAGAATGACACTTTCTATACATTTTGGATAGGTATATATAATTATGTACATACAAAACGTAATAAAATTAAAGAGTTCGTTCTGATATGACAGTTTCCCTCTCATATCTAAGATTATTTAAATTAATCTAATCTAATGGATTTTATGTCATTTAACTACACTTAAATTATACATATAGACCGTTTGTTTGCATCACGTAGTCATATTTGAAGTGAAAGTAATAAAAAAAGTGGTAAGTTTATTACCCTTACCGTTAGGGAAAAGATAGCATCCAAAAACAGTCGATAACAACACAGACAGTAGAGTCACTAGAGTAGTTATCATGATCCAGCTAACACTGACAGCCCATGATAGGATGCACCGCTGTTACTAATAATCTGTTCCTTGTAAAGAGCAAACAAAAATATTAGGCGATTTTTTTACTAAACAATACCGAACAACTATTTTCGAAAACCAAACAACACTAGAAAATTTCAAAATAAGTTGTAAGTTTCCACAGTTATTAAAAATTAACGATAGATTTTTAAGCAAATGCGAAATTAAATTCTTAAATAACTCTATAGTAGTTGGATCGTCTGAAAAAATGCATAAAAAGAATTATTCTCATCATTTTAATCAATATCAACTCAGACTCATTTCTCACTCTAATTTAATTAGCGTACTTGAAATAACACAAAAGTGTAGATATGACTTACCCAGTTTATTCGTAATTTGAATTACAAAATTGAACATTAGCTATCACTAAAGCATCATTATAATTAAAATATTACTTAACTAACAAAGAATTTGCCGTTTTTACAGTACACATTTTACAAACTACAACTGACCTCAGTGAGTGCTGTGTACCTTTTGTGTGAATGACGTCGGAGTGAACATGCGCACAAGACGCCTAAGGGGTTTTATGTGATAACTTACAGCAATTTCAGCGTCGCAAATGGCTTCCTGCAAGTCTAATATATTTCCACCATTTACAGGTACCTTTTAAAAACAGAGACATAAATAATAAGTGTTTCCTGATATTACGAAACATAAAATGGAAAACCTATAAAAATGTGGCATTAGAGTAAAGATTGTATCATACCACTTTACATAAAAACCAGCCTGTTTTATATTTTTACTTCGACTGGAATTTGAACCTACGGTTCCTATCAACGGAGGTAACATGAGCACTAGTCCAACAGACGTCGTACAGAAACATTGATATATTTATATTGGTTTTTATATAAGTATTGGCAACATTCAAATAACATTCATCGCTAAGTTATAAAGAATTATTTTTCAAAGAGTAGCCAAATTTTAAACTTCAGTTCAAATATATACATAAATAATGATAGAAATTACGAGTAAATAATACTTCTACTTTTATTTCAAATTGAATGTGATTTATTGGGCAACAACGTTTTTGCCTACCGCAAATGCATGACCACACATTTTGAATTTAAAAGATAAAAAGCACAGAATGCTTGAGTTTCTTCTTTAATAAATTTTTCTTCACCTATTTGCCTATATTAGTGATAATGAACCTTCTCTGCAAATTTGGTCGGTTATTGCAAATTAACCCTGTATTTTTTTTATTTTTTGTTTATAGGAGAGGGTGCAAACGAGCACGAGTCACGTAGACCAGAAGATCACCAGCTGATCGACCCCGACGATAACCGTATTGGCGGTCACTAATCAGCTGTTGATCCTCAAGGTACCGCATGAGGTGGCAGTTCATAACGGATTCCATTATTTTGGAGAACAAGGGGGTGATGGCGATAGGCCTGTAGTTGGACGGGTCTGAGCGGTCGCCTTTTTTAGGAATCGGGTGGAACAAAGCTGTCTTCCATGAGTTCGGGACTACGCCTTGGGAGTAGGAGTACCGGAAAAGACACGTTAAAACCGGTGCCAACTTCGAACCACACGTCTTTAGCACAATGGGAGGGACTCCATCAGGCCCCCTCGACTTGCTGACGTCCAGGGAGAACCGCACATTCGGCATGGAGCACACACACCGACCTCACACCGCGGGATGGTCGGCGGTGTGTTCCCACCGTCATCTAGAGTGGGGTTAGACGCAAAGAGAGAGCTTAACAGATCTATGATGATGACGAAACAATTTTGCGATTCGAGCCGAAAGTTTTCGGGACTTTTGCACGAGGGTGCGTTGACTTCGTTAGATGTGACTTCTCTAACTTACGTTAAGGTTAAGTGCGCCTCTCATTGTGGATTGCGCATGCAAAATACGTGATTAGATGTTGAGTTGCGGAAAATAGTCCGTAGTAGGTAAACTACAGCATTATGTGTTTATACGTGGTAGAGCCATGCTGCAGCTATATTAGTAGTATAGTTGTAGCACGAATGGGTCGGTTCGACCGGGGAAGGACCACGCTCTCACAGAATACCAGCGTAAAATAGCAGTTTGACACTGCTGTGTTTCGTATGGTGAGTGTAGAAAACCGGAGACCTTTTTTACTGGAAAAGAGGCATTCCATCTTAGTCCTCACGGGTGACAATGCATCTGCATTTTGATTTGCAAACGAGGACAAATGTAGATGTCTATGGGCCACAGCAACCACGTACCATCAGGTGGACTGTGTACTCGTTTATCACCCGATCCTATAAAAAAAAAGTATCAGCCGGAGAAGACACCTGCGTCTCGGTTAGAAAGAGCAAGGCCAGCTTCGCCGTCTCGAAATTCTAGTGGACGGCGTTTAGGTTCGAGTGAAGTCCCCTGATGTTGCAGAAATTCACGGATAGCGTGGCAGGGGTCGCCTTGGTCTTCTTGCTCAGTTTGCCCCGAGTAGTTATTGTGTTGAACGGAATCCCTCCCCCCCCCCCCAGAATTATCGGGGCAGCCAGAGCACCCACGCTCAGGAGTGGAGTAGCATGGTCGTGGATGCTCAGCGAGGAGATTCTCCAGGGGTGCTGGTACCCTCCTTGGGTAGTCTATGATGTAATTCCGCTACTATGTTGATGGGGGGGGGGGGGGAATTGGGCCTCCGGTCACCTGCACTCACCAGACGATACGCAAAAGCAGAGCTTCCACTTCACGCCGGTATTCTGTGAGGTCGTGGTACTAACCCGGCTCGAGCCGGCCCATACGTGCAACAACAAAGGCTGCTGCGTGGCTCTACCACCGTTAATTGGAAACCAAATTGGAATCAAACCGTTATTTGGAAAACCTATGAACGGCGAGACAAGAGAACGTTAATCGTCCACTAATTTATACGTTAAACACTATTTGGTGTAATAGTCAAAGATCTCGACAACCTTTCTTCATCTACATTTTAAAATGGGAATTATTTTTACAAAGTGTAATATACAAATTAACTTATCGAACATAAGTTTCCCTGTCATACCCTGACTTCCCCTAGTGTGTTTCTTTAAATATTACTAATGGGTAATAGATCAAAACATAAATAAAATAAAATATTAGATTGCCAATATTTTCTCGACTAGACCACTAAGTTGTCTGGTATATTCGCTTTGATTTTTCGCTTAGTTTTTTTTTTCATTCACAATTAAAATATTAGTTAGAGTAAAATGTTTCATTGCGAACACGATGGCTTGTTGGATGTATGTATAATATACTAGTCTATGCAAAATAAAATTAGACAGGGTAGTTATGTGTAGCAGTTGTGGGTGAGGCACCTGCGAAAAAAAAATGTGAGTGAAAAAATAATAATTTATAAACATGGTTAAAGTAAAAGTTTATAACATATAATTCTCTCACTGTTGAGCACGGACCTCTCATTTCTGATAATATTATAGATTATGTTATTTAGGGTGAGGTGGTGTAAGACTATCACGGGGGCAAGTAATCACTGTTTAGTATCTCGATATGTATAGCTTCCTTACGAAATTCTTTTAGTTGGTAAAACAATTCATACGTAAAAGTTCGTGGCTCATAACACAGAGAGATAACGTAAATATGGCCGTAAACGTCATTAAAATATCTTAGAAGTGAAAACAATTTATTTTACGGATATTTAAAATATTTGGTGAAAATTGAGCAAAAATCGAAGTGCTCTCAACGTAAATAGCGTCCTACGAATATTGTCTTTTACAAAATCATAACCTACCTAAAAATTGTAAACTGGGTAAAGACTATCAGTTTGTCGGAGGCAAGATTATATGTTATGTTAGTGGTATATTCTTGTGAATGTGGTATATTCTTTCCCCAAATCAGAAGTAACGAACATCTTCGTGGTGGATTTTACTTCCCACTTCATCTTGTAAAAACTTTGTCTCAATTAATGCAATAAAATATGAATACAGGTACAATATAAGTACGTGCGATCTGAATGAATTCAGAAACGGAGAGAGCTGGCGACGAATTTTGGGAAGGTCCTTTTGGCAAGTTGAAATTGTGAAAAAATATAATATCGTCAATTGGCGAATCCAGTCCCGCTAGTCTGGCAGAGCGTTTGCAGTTATTCCGTTACTGCGCAGTATATAGCTTTTGCAAAAAAATATTCAAAAAATGTTTTTTCGGCAACGTGATTTCTTTTTTATCTTTTAATTTAGTGTTTATATAATTTAAAAAAAAATCCCAGACGTTTTTGTCGGCTATAAAGTATTACCTACTAGTACCTCTCCAAAAATATTTTTTTACAATTCCCAAAAAATATACTTTTGGCAATCTCAAATTTTCATCACATATTTATTGAGTAATTTTTATAATATCTGCAAATCGCCAGACAAATTTAATGGTTTTAAACAATTCTCAGACGTGAATAAAGTTTAGAAAAGACAAAATGTCTAATGCGCAGCCATAAGTACGAGAAAGATAGATTATCTAGGCATTTCGGCAGATGATGGAGGCCAAGCTCCTCGCGCTGTGATTGGTTATTGAGAAACCGCGTGTTTTCAGCATATTCGCGGCTCTACGTTCACAACAGAGTATTTTGTGTGAGAGCAATCGTAGCATCGTGAAAAATTATCTATTATTCAAAGATTTATAATTAATTCTTGTTTAGATATTTAGCATGTATGTAAGTATGCGCATATATTACCATGTAAATATCTGTGTATATAGTTTGAATTGTTTTAGATGAGTGCTGTAATAATTTGTATAATAACTATTAATTTTAACCTCCTGAGGCTTAGGCTTGGCAAAAAATATGTTTTAATAATTATCGCCCCATTTTCTCCAAATTCGTCGCCAGCTTTCGGACTATTATCATCTTTATAGTCCTTCACAAGTCCACTTTGGAACATAGGCCTCATGACGATGACGATGATGATGATGATTTTAATTATATTTAACTATAGTTATTCATTCGTTTCGTACTCTTACCTCCGTGTCCGAAGTCAATCAGATTGCATGCGTCGTTATCATA